GTTGTAGGGTTGTGTTGGCTTACGCAACTCTGCAATATTGCGTGGACATCGGGGGAAGTTCCCCTGGATTGGCAGAGCGGGGTGGTGGTCCCCCTATTCAAAAAGGGGGACTGTAGAGTGTGTTCCAACTACAGGGGAATCACGCTCTTAAGCCTCCCTGGTAAGGTCTATTCGGGGGTTCTGAAGAGGAGGGTCCGTCGGATAGTCGAACCTTGGATTCAGGAGGAGTAGTGCGGTTTTCGTCCTGGCCGTGGAACACTGGACCAGCTCTACACTCTCAGCAGGGTCCTGGAGGGTGCGTGGGAGTTTGCCCAACCAGTCTACATGTGCTTTGTGGACTTGGAGAAGGCGTTCGACCGCGTCCCTCGGGGGACCCTGTGGGGGGTACTCTGGGAGTATGGGGTACCGGGCCCTTTGATACGGGCTGTTAGGTCCCTGTATGACCGGTGTCAGAGCCTGGTCTGCATCGCCGGCAGTAAGTCGGGCTTGTTCCCGGTGAGAGTTGGACTCCCCCAAGGTTGCCCTTTGTCACCGATTCTGTTCATAACTTTTAAGGACAGAATTTCTAGGCGCAGCCAAGGTGTTGAGGGGATCCATTTTGGTGGCCTTAGGATTGCGTCTCTGCTTTTTGCAGATGATGTGGTCTTATTGGCTTCATCAGATCGTGATCTACAGCTTTCGCTGGAGCCGTTCGCAGCCGAATGCGACGCGGCCGGGATGAAGATCAGTTCCTCCAAATCCGAGGCCATGGTCTTGAGCCGGAAAAGGGTAGAGTGCCCTCTCCGGGTCAGGGAGGAGGTCCTACCCCCAAGTGGAGGAGTTCAAGTATCTTGGGGTCTGCTGGTGAAGATTCTTAGTCATCCAGGACATGATGAATTCAAAAAGCATTCAATACAAAAACAACTGGACTTTATTTGTAACAGAAGACGTTTCGCTCCTCATCCGAGGAGCTTTCTCAATTCAAAGAGCAGAGAGTGAGAGATTCAGGTTATAAGGCTGAGTGAGATAAGACACACACACATATGTAGATTGGCAATTCACACCTAAACAACATTAACAGTAAAAGTCTTTTGTTCCTCTAATTCACAGACGAGGCCCCTCTGTTCCCATCAGGTGTGAAAACTGGCTGGGAATCTGTTTTAAAGTTGCATTATATGTTTTTGAAAGTGGAAATCTGAGGCCTCCTCCTCTGTTAAGAGACGGCTTTTCTCTTTTTACATAAATTGCCTCCTTCACCCCCCTCTCAAACCATCTGTGTTCTCGGTCTAAAATGTGCACATTTTGGTCCTCAAAAGAGTGTCCCTTATCTGTGAGGTGGAGGTGAACAGCTGAGTCTTGTCCCGTGGAGCTGGCTCTCCCGTGTTGAGCCATGCGTCTGTGAAGAGGCTGTTTAGTTTCTCCAATGTAGAGGTCTGGACAGTCCTCGCTGCACTGGACCGCATACACTACACCACTCTGTTTGTATATGGGTGTTTTGTCCTTAGGGTGGACCAGCCTCTGTCTGAGAGTCCTGCTGGGTTTGAAATGTACTGGGATCTTGTGTTTGTTGAAGATCCTTCTGAATTTCTCTGATACTCCAGCAACATAAGGGATGACAATGTTTTTCCATCTGTTGTTCTCCTTTTTCTGTTTATTAGTGTGTTTTGTAGATTTCCTCGCTGACTTGACAAAAGCCCAGTTAGGATATCCACATGTTTGAAGAGCTTCTTGAACGTGTTTCTGTTCCTTTTCCTTACCTTCTGTCTTCGTGGGGACGCATTCGGCCCGATATTGTTAAGTTCTGATGCCAGAGAGTTTGTGTTCCAGTGGATGGTGGGAGTCAAACAGAAGATACTGGTCTGTGTGTGTTGGTTTTCTGTAAACTTCAATGTTGAGGCTGTCCTCTCTCTCCATCTGAACCAAACAGTCCAAAAAAGGCAGTTTTGTTGTCGTTTGCATCCTCTCTGGTGAACTTGATGTTGTTATCAACTGAGTTAATGTGTCTGGTGAACGCTTCTATTTCCTTAGCTTGGATTTTGACACAAGTGTCATCCACATAATGGAACCAATGGCTTGGCGTTGTTCCCTCATAGGAGTTTAGGGCTCTCTGTTCCACTTCCTCCATGTAGAGATTGGCAACAATGGGTGACACTGGAGATCCCATGGCACAGCCGTGCTTCTGTCTGTAAAAACTGTCATTGAACTTGAAATAAGTGGTGGAGAGGCAGAGATCCAACAGGGTGCAGATCTGGTCTGGGGTGAAGTTGGTCCTGTTGATTAAGTCCTTGTCTTGTAGAAGTGCAGTGCAGTGAGGACTGTCCAGACCTCTACATTGGAGAAACTAAACAGCCTCTTCACAGACGCATGGCTCAACACAGGAGAGCCAGCTCCACAGGACAAGACTCAGATGTTCACCTCCACCTCACAGATAAGGGACACTCTTTTGAGGAACAAAATGTGCACATTTTGGACCGAGAACACAGATGGTTTGAGAGGGGGGTGAAGGAGGCAATTTATGTAAAAAGAGAAAAGCCGTCTCTTTACAGAGGAGGAGGCCTCAGATTTCCACTTTCAAAAACCTATAATGCAACTTTAAAACAGATTCCCAGCCGGTTTTCACACCTGATGGGAACAGAGGGGCCTCGTCTGTGAATTAGAGGAACAAAAGACTCTTACTGTTAATGTTGTTTAGGTGTGAATTGCCAATCTACATATGTGTGTGTGTCTTATCTCACTCAACCTTATAACCTGAATCTCTCACTCTCTGCTCTTTGAATTGAGAAAGCTCCTCGGATGAGGAGAGAAACGTCTTCTGTTACAAACAAAGTCCAGTTGTTTTTGTATTGAATGCTTTTTGAATTTATCTTGGGGTCTTGTTCACGAATGAGGGAAAAATGGAGCGTGAGATCGATAGGCGGATAGGTGCAGCGTCTGCAGTGAAGCAGGCGCTGTACAGGTCTGTCGTGGTGAAGAGAGAGCTGAGTCAAAAGGCGAAGCTCTCAATTTACCGATCGATCTACGTTCCTACCCTCATCTATGGTCACGAGCTTTGGGTTGTGACCGAAAGAATGAGATCTTGGATACAAGCGGCCGAAATGAGTTTTCTCCGCAGGGTGTCTGGGCTCTCCCTTAGAGACAGGGTGAGAAGCTCAATCATCCAGGAGGGACTCAGAGTAGAGCCGCTGCTTCTCCACGTCGAGAGGAGCCAGTTGAGGTGGCTTGGGCATCTGGTTAGGATGCCTTCTGGCCGCCTCCCTGGTGAGGTGTTCCGGACACATCCCACCGGGAGGAGACCCAGAGGAAGACCCAGGACACGCTGGAGGGACTATGTTTCTCGGCTGGCCTGGGATCGCCTCGGGATTCCCCCGGAAGAGCTGGCCCAAGTGGCTGGGGAGAGGGAAGTCTGGGCCTCCCTACTTAGGCTGCTACTCCCGCGACCCGACCCCGGATAAGCTGAAGAAAATGGATGGATGGATTTTTTCATTTAGCCTTTATTTATCCAGGTAGTTTCACTGAGTCATGAGAACTCATTTTCTAGAGAGACCTGTTTAGGAGCAGATGGTGGGGGTTGAGTGCCTTGCTCAGGGGACCAGAGTGGGGCCAATGAGGGTGGAGGCAGGTGTGGGTGTTTCACCTTTTCCACCTCATTTTGATGTTGACGGTACCGGGAGTTGAACCTGTGACTTTCCGATCACAGGCCCATCTTGTAACCTCTGCTCCACCACTCCCCCAAATAACATCATATCATACTGGTCATGGTCATATTAAAATCTCACTGGTTTCCTTCCAGATGTGTTAAACTGGTCCCCTGATGTTTGCAGGTGTGTGTGGTCAGTGGATGAACAGCCTGGCATGAACAAGATGATGCTGGAGATGATGATTTGACGAGAGCTCCCACCTTCTACCTGTGAAGAACAAGAGCAGCTCAGTGAAGGTGCTGAGAGCTGCAGAGAGGCTGATCCATGGAGCTTCAACACAGCAACCTCCAAACATGTCCACCCTCACACACATCGTCTGTGGAGACACTGGACCACAGCACAACATGATAACACACTGACAACAACAACAACAACAACAACAACAACAACACACATTCACTAATGATTCAGACAATTTTTTATTGTTTGATTGTTTTACAATTAAAAACAGTTTGTTATCCACTGTTGTCATCACTCTTTGTTAAAATCCAGGTCTCTCTTGTAAAAGAGTCCTTGTGGCTCAATGGGACTAAACTGTATCAATAAAGGTTGAATGAATATAAATATATACACAATGATTTATTCAAACTTTTATTTATACAGGTTGGCTTCATGGAGCCACAAGGACTCGTTTACAAGAGACCTGCTCCAGACACAACAGGAAACAATGGCAACGATAAACTACAGGAAAAATGATAGAGATGA